TCAGACATTTTAACAGCCTAACTTTTCTGTGCTGCAGATAGCCTTCCTCAAGTTTGATGTGGGTGTACTTTAAGGTTGGGTGTGTTTTATATGGCATATTATGAGAAGAAGGTGGAATAAGGGCCTGATACCAGTACTAGCTTGATTTTTCCCCCCTTTATAGATTTCTATTTCCTTTTTCCTCCTCTACTGACCAGCAAGTCCTTGATGTGATCTGAAGTTATAGGAAGGTCACCTGGAGCAGCAGAGGAAGACGTTGAGCTTCTATGCCCTAAGGGGAGCACTGTGAAACAATGCTTCTTCCGATTGCAATATGCTGCTCAGCTAGAACAGGGTGCAAGGGAATGGAGACCCCGGACCTGCCCTCTTCCCAAAGACCACAGTGTACAAGCAACTGACTGAGGCCTACTCTCCACTGTGTCACCGGGTTGGGAGTGATCCTCCTTACACGTGACCAAAAAAGACTCAAATTTAAAAACAGGAAAACCAAGCCGAGAGTGATGGCGCACGCCTGTCATTCCAGCACTCTGGGAAGCTGAGGCCGGAGGGCCCCAAGTTCAAGCCCAGCCTGGGCAGTTTAGCAACTCAGCAAAATATTGTCTCAAAATAAAAATAAAAAGGGCTGGAGCTATGGCTCAGTTGGAAAGCCCTGAGTTCAGTCCCCAGTACCACAAAAAAGGAGGGAGGAGGCAAAAAAAAAAGTAGCTTTGAGTTTGGCAAAACCCAAATTTATGTAGTGGATCTGTCCTTGCTATTCGATATGTTCTCACAGAATTGCAAAATTTTCCACATGGTCCAGAACTTCATTTTTAGTCTTTTTCTATTATCAAATGAAGTTCACAGGAATGTTTGGGGAGTGGCTACTTAAATAAATCATGAGGAACACCACTGAGTTGGGAATAGTCACTGTCTTTGCATGAACAGTTAAAGGTAACTAAGATCTGTATGGATACTAAAGACTATCACAGTGCCCCGCAGGCACACCGCACAATAAAACAACATACAAAAAACGCTCGCCTATAAAACCCTGTAAAACAGAAGCCTCATATGCCACAAGCAGATGATTCATTCATTCTTCCAACATTTGGGGGTACTCACTGTATGCCCAGCGGTGTACTAGGCTCTGGAAATACATTTTAAGTGTAGCTTCCTGGATCTTAGCCTCCACGAGAACTCAGTGGAGGTAATGCCAGAAGGCTAACGCTTTCCAATTTCCTCCCTGCTGTACTTTTCCAGTAAGTTGGCATCTCCCAAGCTCTCTGGGTTCCCAGGAGGATAAAATTTCCAGGAAGCATTCTGAGGGAACTGCCTCAGCCTCCTAAGGTACAGGTAGATCCTAAGCAGAACAATAAAGGCTGGAATGTGAGTGGGAAGGTGTTTGCCTCTGTCCTACCCCAAGGCCAGCCCTTGGCTGCTGTGTGTCCACAGGAGCCTGCCTGGGTGGGGATTTCCTCAAACCTCTGTAGTCCAGGTGTGACCTTCACTGTACAGAATCTTCCCAAATGCCAGGATCTTGGCGGGGGTGGGTGGGGGGGGTGGGGGGTGGTGTTCAAATTGACAGCTTCCAACTCCAGCAATGTTGTAAAATGAAGCTGCTCAGGGAGATTACAGCCCTAGAGAAATTGGATCTCCACTTAGAGTTGTGCCCTTACACTTAGTTCCTGGTAGGAAACCCTATAGCCTTGGGTCCCCGGTGACCTCTAACAGATGTGTGTTACACTCAAATGCCTCCCCACTAGGCAAGGCAAATCTGGAAGGGGCAGCAGGATTTAGTAGAAAATGCCCTGGCCTGAGAGTCAGGAGTCAGATAATAACACAAGTTATATCCCGTGAGCAGGCCACTTTCTCTCTCTCTCCCCGGCTCAGGTTCTTCCTAGGCAAGGCAAACAGGCTTTAACATACCCTTCCAGGACTTAAATGATTCCTGTCTGAGGTAAAGCCCTGTATTACTGTAAATTTGTCCATACACTTCTCCCCAGAAAGAGTAAGAAGTTTGAAGCAGCTTATAAAATTCAATGGAGTGAAACATGTATGCAGAGCCAGGCATGATGGCATATGCCTGTAATCTTAGCAACACAGGAGGGTGAGGCAGGAAGAGCATAAGTTCAAGGCTAGATGAGGCAATTTAGCAAGACCCTGTCTCAAGCTAAAGCTTAAAAGGACTGGGGATGCAGCTCAGTGAAATCCCCAGTGCCGGATTTTTTCTTTCTTTCTTTTGCAGGCATAGAGCCAAAGGCCAAGATAAACCAAAGGAACTGCAAATCACCAATTCTAAAACTGACTGATTCCTGGGAAGACTGAAAGAAGCCCAACTATCTTCTGATCATTGGCATTCTGAGAAATTACTTTTTTCTACGTCTTTCTTCTATTTTCCGTATTTTCTAAAATACTCACAAATTATTTTCTAACTAGTAAAAAGTTGACTGGGCTGCCAGGGTTTCCTGGCCCTCATCTTTCTTATGCAACACGAGTTAGGCACAGACAGACTTTCCATCTCCTCAATAGCACACAGCATTGTAGGAGGAATAGAACTCCCAATCTGCTTGAAGTCAGTCGCACCAAGCTCGTGTCCCCTGAAATCCAAGGATGAATTCCAAGGGATGACGGAGGCTAAGAGTAAGAAAGTTTTATTGAGAAACAGCTCCTGAGACAGGAGGGGTCGAGGAAGTGGGTTGCCACCAAGGCCCTTTGTCAGTGGTGATTTATACAGCAGTGTCACAATGTGGGTACAACGTAGGTCAAGCTATAATCAACCTATAGGGTTACAAGTATGGCTGCTTAGCTAATATTAATCCAATAGGGAAGCGAGTCGCAAAGCAGGGTACACGGAAAGAACAAAGGCATTTTGGGGAAGGGATGGGTCCAGATGTTCTGGTCACCCTCCTGGGCGACTGATCCACAGCTGGACTTCCTGGGCCAGGTGATACCAATTACAGTACAATTTTAGGTTTCCGCTTATCTGATAGGGAGACACGTGGAGCAGGCCATTGCTCCTCTGACAGAATCACCCGGTATCCATGTTTGCACACACCAGTGTTTTACACACCCAGAGGGCTGTTGTGAAGATTCGAGATTGAGTCCAGGTGTGGCACAAAAGTCAGATCATCCACACAGGAGCTGGTGTTGCCTGGGGGAATTCCATGATTTTTTTCAGGGTTCCACCGCACGCTCAGAAATAACCTCAGGTCTTCCTAGCTTCTTCCTGGCCCCAGTCTTTGCTCTCCATACCCTCGCCTTTCTGCCAGCCACCCACCAGCTCTGCTCCAGCACTCACAGCAGAGCCTTCAGAAAACTGGCAACCCACAAAACCCACAGGAGTAGCTAATGCACATTCAGAATATTCATCCTAGTGACCTATACATGAAAAGAACAGCGCAGTCCACTCTCTTTACTTAGAGCAGCATTTAAAAAGTAATGCACTGGAATGCCTGCTATTAGCAGAGCTGTGATGAAAGATGCCTTCTGCTGCATGATGGAGGAAACTTAGAACATATTTTGGAATATGGTTTGGCCATGTATGGGAACTTATAATGTTCCCATCTTTTCATCGAGTAGGTTTAAATTCCAAAGGAAATAGCATTAAATATGATAAAGCCTTATGTGATAAGATGTTCCTTACTTTTGTTATTATTCAGCATTGACTATAATAGTATTGTTTGTTTTTGAGACAGGGTCTCACTATGTAGTTCAGGCAGCCCTGAACTCACGATGTAGCCCAGGCTGGCCTTGAACTCATGGCGATCCTTTTGCCTCAGACTCCTGAATGCTGGGATTACAGGTGTGCATAACTATGCCCAGTTTGTAACAGCATTTTACAGAATGAGAAACCTGGAAAGAATCCTCTACCCTTGATGAATAAGGAAACAAATAATGGGGCCAGGGATTTAGCTCAGCGGCACCACGCCTACCTCTCAAGTGCAAGGTCCTGAGTTTGATCCCCAGTACCAAAAATAAATAAATAATGGTACATTTGTGCTATGAAAAAGAATACATCATTTCATATTTTCAGCAGCACCAGGAAATGACAACACTGTCTTGTGAAGTACAAAATTACATTAAAAATTGCATGATCATTATGATCAAATTACATTCAGCAATGAAAAGACAGGGTAAGGAATGCAAATATGTCAACAGCAATTCTATTTGTATGATGTTCAGTTTTTACTTTCTGGCTTATTTTTTTACATTTCCCAGATTTTCTATGTAAGACTGAATTTTACAATAAGAAAAAATGTTGTTTTCTATATTAAAAAATCTGTAACTGGTACAGGGTTTTCAACTTTTGCGTGAAGGAGAAAGTCTTGAAGGTTCACGGAAGCCTGGCCCAAGGAGGTGTCTTCTCACTCACAGATCAAAGCGAGACCACCACATGCCACAGCCCAGACACTAGGCAATGCCCCTGGCTAATGGTTCAGAATTCTCAAAATCTTTATTTGTTTGTGTGTTTTGGGTACCGGGTCTTTGAGAAATCAAGGCAAGTGTTTTACCACTGAACTACATCTCCAGCCTTGAATTGTTGAAATTCTTAATGGTTTTTGGAAATTTGGGGGGAGAAATTTGCATTATTTCAAACTGTTCTTAAATGTTCTTTATGCCCATTTTCATATCTCAAACTTTTCAAACTCTCATAATTCACATTCACAGAAAATGAGACCATAATGAATAATTCATATTGAAGATGCTGAATTCCCAAACAATAGATGGTCATTGCTTATACAAACAGTTTGGGGCATCATAATAAAAAATTGGAGCATATATTGCCAGGAGAAATTTAATAAGTGTGTCCTGCAAGGAAACGGTACATTTAACGACCCATAAGAAGTATATTTTGTATTGCTTCATTGAGCAGGCATGCAAAACCATCAACAGGATGCCCATAAAATCTGGAAATGATGTAAGGAAGTTTTCAATGTGCAAAACACAACACACACATACACACACACACACACACACACACACACTGCCAGCCTTATGCAGGATGGAAATCAAGCTCCACGTACCTGGAATCCTATTTAGTGTCACCCAGAAATGTTCATCGGGAGAGTAGGTGTCCCTCGACCACTTGAGTAAATCAATGGCCCTCGGATCTTCCAGAACAAAATGGACAAACTCCTTGGTGAGGGCCACGTAGGCAGAGCCGAAGTAAATGGCCCGGTTGTGGGGCGGAGGTGGTTTCCTCAGCCAGGTCCATAGCACGAAGGAGAACCAAGAGTATCTCTGCTCCACGTGCACATACTTGGTCCTTCGGAGAACATGAGGAGGGGGCAGCACCCTGGGGGTCAGATTCTTCCCTTTGAACCCTTTCAGGTACTGAACGATCTCCCTGTTGGTCTTCAGAGGGAAATCTTGCCCACAGGTGTTGATGATGTACTTCCAGGGGACCTCGGAGGCCACCAGGTCTTTCATGCAGTTCAGGTTGGCCTGGAGCCTGGAAAATCCTGCATAGACCATGGGTTCCATCTTGGAAGCCAGAAAGGCATTGGGGAAGCAGCTCAGCAATTGCTCCACCTCGAGTTTGAACATAGCTGTCACCTTCTTGTCCACGTGCACACAGTAGACATTCTGAGGAGTGTAAACAGCCCAGAGGAGCCTCTCAAATGTGTCAAAGTCTTTGTGAACCACCATGACATATGCCAAAGGGAACTCGGCTTCCTGTTTGGACAGAGGTTTCATTACGTAGTGGTTTTGGATCAAGTATTGTTGGCAAGACATATTTCTCAAAAGTCTCACTGGCATATGTTCACCCAGGAGGACTCTTTTTCCTGTCACAATCGTGTCACAGATTTCTGTCAGGACTGAAGTGTTTGAGATTTTCCCCACTTGTGGGTATTTCTATGGCACTAAATTGTTGATATACAGGAATAAAAATGTTATCCACACAGCCATGAGCCCTATGACAAACCCAAATGCCTTCCACTGCATTTTCCCTTGGATCTCTTTTTCTTGTTTTGTCCCTTTGCTGACATCACAACATTGCTAATGTCAGTCTACAGGTCCGGGGTCTGATGGAGAAATCTGCTCTTTTTATTTTCAGCGAGAAGGGAAATGCAACCATTCGCTGAAGAGAAAGGGATCAACTCTCAGCTGCAGTTCTTCTCTGATCAGAAGGGATGAGAAAAACAGGAGCCTCTGAGGTCAACCAAGCAATGGAGCAAGACCGGGCACAGCCGGGCACAGCCGGGCACCTTGCTGTGGGTCAGTGTCACCTTATGACTCTGCCAATTGGCCACACTTGACAGTCTTCCCACACAGGCTAAGGGTGGAGTGGGAGCTGGCCTCACCCCTGGAGAGCACAGTCACCAGTGTCACCCTGGAATGCAAGGGACATTCTCTCCATCTTCGGGCGTCACACTTGTCCCAAGGCAGGTGTCTGTGGACAATCACAGCACTCAGAATTGCTGGATAGCACAGTCTCTTCACCCCCCAAAAAAATCAAGAATTCATAGTCTCTCAAGCCTGGAGGGAACCTGTAGATTATTCACCCCAGCAGGATCAACTTCCAGATGGTGCTGAAAAGGCGCCAGGCGGGTTCTAGCACACTTTAATCTCCATTATCTCCCTGACGACCTGGGAGGGAAGCAACCACATGATGCGCACTTTGCCCACAAGGGAACTGAAGCCCTGTGATCTGCTGCCTTGCAGGGTATCCAGTAATGACTACTTTGGGGTCTCAACCCCAACCTTCTGACCACACCAGTCTTCTCCCTGAAGTAGCCTCCCCCTCTGCCTTTTCCTGAGGCATCCCTACTTATCTTTCAGGTCCTGGTGCAACACAGCTTCTCTGGTGACCCTTTCCTGCCCTCCCTAGGCTTGGCTGGGAACCCCTGGCCTCACAGGACCTCGAAGTCTCCATAACCACACGTTGGTTGCCTGTACCCCAACTTGTGAAGCATTATTTCTGTATACTTGATCACTGCATTTTGGCACTGGGTTTACGGCAGGCACTCTTCCTTGAACTAAGTCTAGTCCTCTCTTCTCTCCTCTACATAAGGGGGCAGTAAGACTGTAACTAGGGCTGGACATGACGGCACACACTTGTAATTTCAGCACTCAGAAGGCTGAGGCAGGAGGATTGCAAGTTGGAGGCCAGCCAAGGTTACATGAGGACTTCAAGGCCAGCCTGGACTATATAAGGAGGACCCAAAATATTAAAATGAACAAAACTATAGCTGGTGGCGCAGTCTGGCCTTCTACCTGTATTTATACAGCCTGTGGGCTAAAAGTGGTTTTATATTTTTAAGTGGGTGGGTGGGGGGAATCCAAAGAATAAAAATATTTTGTGACATATGGAAAGTATGAAATTCAAAGTTCAGGGTCCATAAATACATCATATTAGAATCCAATCAGGGTCCCATGTTTACCTTCCTGTGCCTGCTTCACCCTGTGATAGTAGAGCTGGGTTACCCTGACACAAACCTAAACCAAAGATATGCGCGGGCCCCAGAGCCTGAAGTATTTACCAGTCTCCCCTTATCCGAAGAAGTTTGCTGACCTCCTCCTCCACAGCTACCAGTGCCCTTCAGACCACTGTTTTCATGGCATCAAGGTGACCCTAGTAGATTTGGCACCATTTTACTATTTGCTTTATTTTCTTGATTTTCTGATAAATGCTATGGTATTTGATAGCAGAATATGGGGCTTTAAAGAGAAATGTGGGGGGATGGGGATTGTTGCTCAGTGGTAGAGCCCTTGCCTAGTATGGCTGAGGCCCTGGTTTGATTTCCCAGCACTGCAAGAGGGGAGGGACAGGGGCAGGGGGGGG